TTTTGCATGACTTGCTACCTAAGCTTAGCCCTTTGATATAATGAGTTTGGGATCCCAAGATTTGATTTTTTTTTCATATGTGCAAAGTGTGATTGTCTACACACTATTGTTATTCTTCTAAGTGGATGAAGTACTCTGGAAAAACATCCAGTCAGCCATCTTGAAAAAAACAACTGTTATTTCTTTGGAATATTGCCTTATAAATCTGAGAGATGTCCAGTGAAGGACAGCATATGGTTATCAGTCTAGAGAAAGTGCTCAGAGAACTTGGAAAATTTGAAAAAAATAGAAGATACTTCTGGAGAAGTGAGAAAATTGAGAAAAATACAAAAGATGTGTTCTTGATGTGTTTAGCTATTATTATTATCATTACCATTACTAAATGATACTTTCCAATTAGCAAAAATGTACGCTGGAAGCTATTGCTTTTACGTGAGCATCAGTCACACTGACAAAAAAAGAAATGCTTGCAAAGAGCAAGCCATAGAAGGCAAGTTAGGAAATGATATATATGTTTATCTATATTTATTTTATTGAATCAACACTGACAACAGAAATACCCAACATTACGTCCTTCCATGTATTAAAGACTAAGCAAAAAATTAAAAATAGTATATTATTTAATCATCAGATCAATTAATTATTTCCACTTTATTGATGAGTAAAGGAAGCTGTACATATGATAATCAACTTGTCGAGGGTTACCTGCTGATAACTAAAAGAGAGGAGATTCATATTCAAACAGAATCCTTAAGCTAGAGCTAGTGTTCTTATCACCTTTTTGCAGCTCTTGCATGTGTGTGCGTGATAGAATGAGGGTGAGAAAGAGGAATATCTACATTCTTATTTATACCTATGTGGATGATCACGTGTAATATTCATTATTCTACTAATGCTTCTAGTAAATGCCAGTCTCTATGAGTATCTTATTTAGTTTTTCAGTTAGTTACATATGTTATTGATTGCATATAACTTGATAATGACTGCAATCATAAAGGAATACATTCTTTTGAAATGTCATAGGCAGGAATGGTAGAAACTCCAGTATGAAAAATCCAGTGTAAATTATTTTAGATGATTACTTTGAAAGTAGATCTTTGAAGTGTTTGAGCTACAGTCACTTTTCACTAAATTTCTGTTAAAGGATCGCCTGCTTTTTATGCAGTTTCTCCTTGTCCCACTCATCCATTCTTAGTTATCTAAAGCTTAGAGTCCCTGCTGCCTCCTTACAGGAAACCCTCCAATGGCTTTTCCTGGCAGGTGCATTCTGTGAATTTCTTAGCAGGATCACCTGGTCTTCTTCAGACTTGCACGTGATTGCTCTGCACTTGCCTTTAAGTGCTGATGGTACTACACTCTCTCCCTACAATACAACTTACCCTCCTACTTTCCCTCAAGATGATTTATCACCCCTTATTCTGCTTCCTTAACATGTTACCTCTATAGCACTGTCAAATGCTTATTGTTTTTACATATTTCTCTCACTAAACTGAGACCTGGATGCTCACATGCCATTTGTGGTGTCAGTCAGTTCATGAGAAGTATCATATAAATAACAACATCAAATGACAACAAGTACTCAGAGATGCTGAAACTATATTTGCAGAGTTGAATAGAGAATACTTTGTCTGAGAGAGTCACCAGTTGGGTAATATAATAGAAAATCTTAAATTGAGTTTTTAAAGAGTAAATGAGTAAAGTTTTGCCAAGAAAATTGAAAATCTTACATGAAGGCCATTATAAGATCCTATTAATACATGTAATTTATGAAAAGGAAAAAAATACCAAAACGTTCTAACCAATAATGACATTATATAACCTTTTTATTAGGAGAAAGACTAAGGTCAATTTAATAAACCATAAAATTGGCAAAGTTTCTGGAAACTGCAAAGTTGACTTATAGTTTTTGTTCCAGTGTGATCAATTTAAAAAGCTCTTGTAGATGTCGAAATACCTGCAGTATAAAGAAAGTGTGCAATAAAAATTTTGCTATAGTAGCTTGTCATTTTACTGTGTTCACGTCCAAAATGTATAACCAGATTATCATCCCATGTCCTTCCCTGGCTTCCGCTCTTAATGTTTCTGCCACCTTTTATTTGAATTTCTGGAATGCTCCACTTGCTCTTACTTCAGGTCCCAGCCAGCCCCATCCACTCTCTGGAAAGAACACCCTTTATCTACTCTTTATCTTCAGTCTTCTAGATGTTTTTGGGTACTGTTTAAAATTTATTTCCTAGAGAACGTTTCTCTGGCTTTTCAATCTATTGTGATGTACTATCTCATTCTTATTATTATATATGTTTTGAGATGGAATTTCACTCTTGTTGCCCAGGCTGGAGTGCAGTGGCCCAATACTGGCTCACTGCAACCTTCCCATTTCAGGTACAAGCAATTCTCCTGCCTCAGCCTCCCATGTAGCTGGGACACATGCCACCACACCTGGCTAATTTTTGTATTTTTAGTAGAAACAGGGTTTTGCCATATTGGACAAACTGGTCTGGAACTCCTGACTTCAGGTGATTCACCTGACTCGGCCTGCCAAAGTTCTGGGATTACAGATGTGAGCCATCACACCTAGCCTCTTTTTTTTTTTTTCCAACATAACGGCACTTATAATAATTTGTATAAACATGGTTACTTGTGTGGTTATTATCAGTCATTGTTTTCCCTCTAGACATTATAATCCCAAAATTGCTAAAAAATATTTACAATCAGTTTATCATTGGATCGTACTCACAAAAATACTGTGTTTATTTTTTCTCCCTTCAGAGAGTAGGAAAATCAATAAGCACAGTGTTTATCGTCCTTTTAGCTTTCTGAGCATCTACTGGCAGCAAGGGTCAGAGTTAAATTCTACAGCCCTGGGAGTAACTGCCTTCCATTAACTCTCTTCCAGTGATTATAAGAATGCAAGCAGGAAATAAAGAAAATATTATTTTTAAAACACTTGCCAAAGCAGAGAATTCCATCTAATATTTTGGGTGTTTAATAATTATACACTTATATCCCTCCTTATATAAGAGAAATGATTAAAGATACCAGTGATTAACCCTGTGACAATTTTCAGTACACTGCAACGTATATACAGCATATATACTTTCATGAGTCATTTAACAATGGAGATGTATTCCAGAAAGTGCCTCTCAGTTAGATGATTCCACTATTGTACGAACACCACAGAATGTGCTTACACAACCTGAGACGGCATCCCCTACTGCGCAGCTGTGTTATACAGTATAGCTATTGCTCCTAGGCTACACACCTGTATAGCATATAACTGTACTGAATACTGTAGGCAAAAGTAACACAATGATAAGTAGTTGTTTTAACACATCTACACACAGAACAAGTAAAGTGAAAATACAGTTTAAACGACTTTAAAAAGTGGCACACAGATACAGGGCACTTACCATGAATGGAGCTTGCAGGATGGAAGTTACTCTGGTTGACTCTGTGAGTGAGTGTGAAGCCTAGAGCGTTACTGTACAGCACTGTAGGCTTTATGAATACGGAACACTGAGGCTACACTACATTTATAAAAGGTATTTTTCTTTCTTTGATAATAAATTAACCTTAGCTTACTACAACAGTTTTTACTTTACAAACTTAATTTTTTTAAGTTTGGACTTTTTGAAAAAAGGCTTAGCTTAGTCATGTAGCTGTAAGAAATTATTCTATATTCTTATTCTATTATTCTATGTGTTTTTCTACTTTTAAATTTATAATTTTCTTTTTTTTTTCTTTTTAAATATTTTTGTTAAAAACTAAGACAGAAACACACACATTAGCCTAGACCTACACAGAGAGAGTCAGGATATCCAATATCACCTCTTCCACCATCATATCTTGTCCCACAGGAAGATATTCTGGGAAAATAACATGCATGGAGCTGTCATCTGCTCTGATAACAATGCCTTCTGGATACCTTCAGAAGGACCTGCCTGAGGTGTTTATAGTTAACTATTTTTAATAATTAGAAGGAGTACACTAAAAAATCAATAAAAGTTTAATACAGTAAATATATAAACCAGTAACATAGTCTTTATTATTATTAAGTATTATGTACAATACATCATAATTGTATGTGCTAGCCTCATACAACTGTCAGCACAGCAGGTCTGTTTACACCAACATGACCACAAACACATGAGTAATGTGGTGTTCTATGACATTACAATGGCTATGGCATTGGTAGTGCATGGAAAGTTTTCAGCTCCATTATCTCCTTACAGGATCACCATCGCATATGCAGTTCATCATTAACCCAAACGTCCTTAAGTGGCACATGACTGTAGTTAAAGTGCTATCTCTGACATACTGTACTGGATTACTCCCTTTCATAAATTATTTGCTTCACTGTTTTTTCTCATGTTAACATGTCTTAAATTGGAATACGCATAAATTTGTGAACACTTTAGCTGAAAACTTCTGGTAAGACCAAGAAATTGCCAGCATCAAAGTTGTCTTTGTGATACAATAAAATACAGTTACACAAGTAAGGTAAATATGCATTGTCTTTTTAAGCAATATGGCTGTAGACAAGTTAGGCTCATTTCTTTATTCATTTCTCATGGATAAGAATATTTTAACTTACTTATAAAGTTCTTAAAATTTACAAACATGTACATAAGCATTATCTGATTTCAACATCATAACGATTATGTAAGGAAGGGGAGAGATAGTGTGTCAGCCCTTTGTATGGTAATAAACCAAGTCCCATATGTTAAATGCTTTGCTGTTTATACTGTTAGTAAAAGTTAATGTCAGAAACCCTAAATTCTATTTTTTGGACATGTTTCAGTGTAAAGACCGAGATCTCATGTGTTAGTTATTGGCTTTGAAGCCTGGAGTTCTGGAATAATTTTTAACGAAGACTTGGTGAAGTCACAGAATGTTAATCTTTTTAACTGTGGCTTCCGTACCTTGCTCCAGTCAGGAGTGGCCAGGTTAGCAATGTGAAGTGATGTGTGCCAGCCTGTGTAACTCCAGGTTTTCACCAGGACAGTGACCTTCTGGACCGGCGGAAACACTGCTTCACCGTGCAGTCGGAGTCTGGGGAGGACCTGTACTTCTCAGTGGAGCTGGAAAGTGACCTCGCCCAGTGGGAAAGAGCCTTCCAGACAGCAACCTTTCTAGAAGTAGAACGGATACAGGTGAGAGTCCGTAGGACTGCAGGATCTGTGCCTCTCTCAAATGCATGACAGTTCGTTCCAAAGTAGTATAAAAATACAGTTCTAGGAGTCTTGACCTCCTCAAAGACATTCCGTCGTTAGCCATTTTTGTTTAGTGATTAGTAATATAACTCTGAATAAAATTTTAAGTTTTCCGCAACTTGATCTTTCCAGGCTATTTCCTACTACTAATCAAAAATATATTTCTAATTTTAATTAGACATTGCTCTGAACTCAATCTAATATAGAAAATGCTCTGATTTAATTAATTGCTGACACGGTCACTTCCTATTTTCCAAATATGACCTCATTTCCAGCCTGTTGGCTTCATTTACTCACAATGCTCTTTCTTCTAGAAAGCCTTACTTTTGTCTCTGTCATTCAAAGCCACAAAGAGTTTTTGAAACTTTTTCTAAAGGTCATGTCATCCAGGAACATGTTCCTGATTTCCAGTCTACCCTGCCCAATGCTTGCCAATACTCCACTTACAACTATCCTGTTCAAACAACGCTCTTCTTCTCACTTTTGAATACAATGTAACCTACTTGTCTGTTTTTTTAAGGATTGCTCACACTCAGTCTGTGTTGTATTGGAGTGACATGTGCTTATCATTCTCTGCACTAAATTATTGGCTGTTTGGAATTATCTTATTAATATGCCAACCAAAGTCAATGCATTTTACACATCATGAGCATTCAACAGATATTTATTGAACTTTGTTTCTTAAATGTGATGTTACGCCTAGATCAAACTTTATAGAGCCCTCAGCCTCAGTTATTCACAAGACTATTGAGTGAAACAGTCTCCCAAAGTTGGTTCTGTGACTGACCTCAAATAGACCTGTGGACAAATGGAAATGTTATCATGTGCTTGCCACATGGAAATGGACCCATAAAGCAAGGATCTAAATACACACATGGACACCTAAGTTTGAAAACAAATATGACATTGACTATACTGCTGTGTTTGCCTAAGACAGGATTATTGGATCCATGTTTTTTCAACATGTTGAACTGATTTCTGTCTTCTGACTACAAACCTGTGTAGTCAACACATGAAGTTGTACCAGTATGACATTACAATCAGGGAAAGAGGTCAGAAAGAAAACTCCAATTACAGTTTTTAAAATTGTTTCCTTGACTCTTTTGAATAACTCTGTTTTTATTTATGTATCTAAAAAGTCTTAAATAGATAAAAAATTTCTACAATTTAACTCATAGAACTTCAATTCATAATATAGATATTATAATATCAAAAATGGAAACATCAAAAACTTACTAAATATGCTTTTATTCAAGAGTCAAGATCCAAGACCGTTTAAAGTATTAAAATATAATTTAATTGAACATAATTTAATTTGTTATTTAAATTGATATTTTTAGGTGTTTAAAATTATCATTTCTCTACAATAATTCATTTCACTTGGAAATAACTACAAGGTAATTTTAACATTTTGGTTCCAATTTAGTACTTTTTTAAGTTTCCTGATATTTATAAACCAGATAGAGATAAAATCTTTGAATCTGGGCCTCGTATTCTATAAACTTATGTCAAAAAATACACTGCCCTATCTCCTTACCCATTCACAATGGCAATTTAAGATAGGTGTCAGAAGTGAAAAATCAAATATTTAATGCCTTTTTAGCTTTTAATTGCTCTACATATCTTATAACTCTCTTTTGTTTATTGTATAAGAAATCAATGGGGAACACTTTTGTAGTGTTATTTTCAAAATTCAAGTATGTAAATATATTTACATGAAGAACCTTACACATTTTTCTTCTATATTCTTAATTTATCTCTTCCATTAAAGTTGGTAGGAAATTAAATAAAGGAGGAACATATGTTCTATTGCAAAACAGGCAGGAAAAAAAATCAATCAATTGACTTTTAAAGTGTTTCTCATTTGAACTTCCTTAAAAAGGATAATGTATTTATTTATTTTTCTCTGTATAATTTGTTTTTAATGAAACAAATTAAACAACAAATTAAATATTTCAATATTAAACCTATGATAAGTATATTCATGATATGCTATTAACATAAATTACAGAACTTGACACTATATATAAATTGAAACTTCAGTGAGTCTCAATTTATAGCACATTTATTTGTTTCAATTTAATGATTATTGAGAAAATCTAATTTGTGATGCTGAATTTAATAGAAAAATTTGAATGCACAGCAGCAAATTTGTTTTCACCTGACATTTTCTTGTTTAAATGACAGTACTTGAAATTAGCAAACCATTGTGTTTAAATTAGGAGGAAATTTTATAGCCTTAAACATTTCTTAATGTTGATAATAGTTTTAATAAAGTGCTAATGGGTGGATGTAAGCATGCACAATGCTCATGTATTAAACAAATATAATTACTCCCAAAAATGGACTTTTAAGGCTCATTATGTTCTTTAATCTGCTTTTTAACAAAAAGTAACTCTAAAAGAATATTTTTGCATTATTATAATTTTTCTATGCTAATAAGGCTTAAACACATGAAATGGAATTTTTGGTAAAGACAACTTGATATATTTAGTCATAATTATATTCAGAATGGGATTCAATTAATGTAGTTTTATATACAGTATTATAAAAACAAATATAATGTAAGGATAGGTATTGAAAATTGGCTTCAGATAATATTCTCTTCCTTTCTCTCTCTCTCTCTCTGTCTCTCTATCTCATACATAAATCATAAATATTTTTCATGACAGGCATATCCGACTGCAAATTAAAAGTAAATGCAAATAAAACTTATAGATGTAAAAATACATCATTGTTGCATATAAACCTCAAATTTTTATTATAAATTTTATTTATATCCTGTTTTCTTTGTATTTCAGTATCCATATTTACTAGTCTTTCCAAAGTATTTATAAAAGAAAAATTATTATATTATCAGATCTCATTGTGAAAAGTGACTGCTTATTGATTTTTAAAGAATTTTCTGTAGTTCTAAACAAATACATTGGAAAGTGGTAAATATCTTTAGGAATAGCTTGTGCAATATGGAAAAACAGAGAGAGACTCTTACAATCTAGATACATTGTTTTGACTTGGTTACTGAATCCGTGTTTGTGTGTGTGAGAATCTCTTTTAATAATATTCATGAAATTGATAATTGTGAAAATTCAAGACACTACTATTTAACAATAGTTACTTTTTAGTTTACTGAAAATGCACTGATACTTGGCTACATTATATAACAGCTTAACATAAACTTGCCCACACCTAAATCTTTTTATATACCACCTTTATTGTCAATATAGCAAAGACAGACAGTGTCACCCAATGTAAAGACAAAGCTGGGGGAACAGAATTGGAACCTTGGCCAGGCATACATCTTGGCAAGTTAAATAAAACCCAATACTCTCAGCATCTGTTTCATTAACATTAAAATGTTGATAATGCTCCCTTTTTTATACAACTAGTGTTAATATTAAATTAGATATTGTATAAAGTACTTATTGGAGAAGCTGTCACATAGTTCTTGATATTGAGCTTGCATTAGTAACATAAAAAGTAATAATACTTTCTGTTCCATCTAGTGCAAGACCTATGCATGTGTGCTAGAAAGTCATCTAATGGGACTCACGATTGACTTCAGCACAGGATTTATCTGCTTTGATGCTGCAACAAAGGTAATGCATTCAGGTCAGCTCTGAGAAAAAAGCTGCAAACATTCTAATCCAGGAATAGTTTAAATACCTCAAAACTCTTTTAATTGTCATCATGTCAAATTTAAGATCCTCATTTTTGTTAATGGAAGATAAATTATGCTTCAATTAACAAAAGTTTGAATTTTTAATAAAACAAATGTAGTACCACAAAACTGTAACTCTGTGAAAGTATATCTATCTATGTATCTATGTAACTAGCTAGCTAGCTAGCTATCATCATTTTACCTTTTCTTAAAGATATGACTTTATAATTGAAGAAACATTTTCTTTCCCAAAAAGCAATTTTAAAAAACTATGTTTAAACTTTATCTGCTTCAACTTCTGCAAGATAAAAATAAGAAAAAAAAAGAGGTTTTTGGGTTTTTTTAATGATTTATAGCTGACATGTTGGAATTATTGAATGGCGAAAATTTAAAGTTTAGTTTCTAGCTAGGGCGTATAACTTGTATAAACACTTTACTTAATAAGGATTATGCTCTACGAGGTGTTCTTAGAAAGTTTGTATCTCTAGGAGTGATGTACATTGAATGAGGAAGGGTACCTATTTAGCCAGTCATACCTGACAAAATCCCCTTTGATGACTATGGATGGAAAATGGCAAAGCGAAATGCACATTATTATCATTATTTTTAATTGGAAGTAATCGTAAAGTTCAACTGACCCCCATTTAACTGCTCATCTGCTTACAGTCACTGCTACAGTTTGTGACTTGAGGCTCTTGTCATCATGGAAGACATTCTCTTCCCTCTCATGAGGACGTCGGTTCCTTCGATCCATTCCATTTTCTCCTTCATGAAAGTAGGGCTTAAGTATAAATTGGTTTGTTCCTTCTCACATATTTTAGGGATTCACAAGCAATCCTTTACCAGAACACAAATATTTTACCTAGAAATTAAGTCTTGTGTAGGATTTTCTAAAGCAAATGCCAACAGAATCAAACAGTTATACAAACGTGTAAGAAAGATGGAGTGTAGGAGACAGTGTGGGGTGCTTGATTTGTGAAAGATGAACATCTAATGGAGGGGTCCAGGTAGGATGCTGCCCTGTGCTCATTCACCTTGGGAATCTTCATGACTCAGCAGCTAGCATTGCCCTACAACATCTCACCTTATTCAAAGATGGTTAATATTTATTTTTAACATTGTAAAATTAGCACACATTTGCTGGTCAGATTTGGCTATCTAATGTGTTGCATTTGCATCTTGACAAAAGAGTACTTTGTAAATAAGGAGTTTTAAATGCTGGTAATTCTTGAAAACTCTCAAATGAGACTGCCATGCACTAGTCTTATTACTAATTTTTTTTTTTTTATTATTAAAATGCTCATCAAATGAAGATAGGCTCCTGAGTGTTAGTTTGATGAATTAACTAACTGAATTATTATTTAAATAAGTAATAAATTAATTTTATAAATAAACTGAGAAACAAATTATACCTTTGAGAGGCCGAGGAGGGCAGCTCATGAAGTCAAGAGATCGAGACCATCCTGGCCAACATGGTGAAACCCCGTCTCTACTAAAAAAATACAAAAATTATCTGGGCGTGGTGGCGTGAGCCTGTAGTCCCAACTACTCAGGAGACTGAGGCAGGTTAATTGCTTGAACCCGGGAGGAGGAGGTTGCAGTGAGCCGAGATTGCGCCACTGCACTCCAGCCTGGCGCCTGACAACAGAGCGAGACACTGTCTCAAAATAAATAAATAAATAAATAAATAAATAAATAAATAAATAAATAAAAAACAAAAAGCAAATAAATTACACTCACTAGAAAAGTCAAAATCTGATTTTAAAAAGAAAATATAATTCTCAGAATTGTCACCAAACTCTAGTACATGAATGTGAAAGAATCTTACATTAGCAAATGAGAAAAATAAAATTCACATGGATAAAATTCTGGGTATATTAATCTGAGTTTATTTTAAAGCTAGCTATGTCGGAGTTCTGTTGGCTGTGCATAATATAGGGGAGAAAATCATGACACCAATGTCCTATTCGACATTCCTGTCTACTTCTGCTGGATGTTCTGGGAATGAGTGAATAGTCAGGAGTGTCTAAGTGAATGATTACCATGCCATCTGGGGCGAACAATTTAGTAGGAAATGAGAGTTGAATCGGTCCAAGCTTGATATTCAGGAAACACCAGAGGCCTTCAGGAATAGTAGTCGCTGTCCTATTTTCTGATGATATCATCGGAAGCATCTACCTTCAAGGGAATCTGAGACTTGGGAGAGGCTAAAAAGGAATCCATACACATTAACGAAGACGGTTATAATATCCGTCACAGATTATGACACTTGGAGAATGAAAGTAGGAGCTATTAACAGTTCTGTCAGACATAGAGAGGGAAGGCAGGCGCAAATGGAGATTCCTGGGCAATTCACTGAGCTGGGGCTTTCTGCAAGAAACTTGCACCCTTTCATCAGATGAACCTGGAAGCTATTTTTAAATATGACAAAAAAAGATAATTGTTACTTACCAATCAAAGCATGTTTTTTTCTGTTTTATTAAAATAGTTAATATCTAGTAATTTTCTATCTGTTTTTTGCTAAGTGATATGAACGTGAAAAATATCCTGAAAACTCTATGTCCCACGGCTTTTAAATATTTGGATTCAGAAGGGTTTGTCCTTTAGCTGAACGTGCTTTGTCCTTGTGCACTTCATCTTGATCAAGTCCCCCAACCTTGAAGTTACCACAGAAGCAAAGGAAAGGTCTTGTGATAAAGTAGAGATTCCAGGAAAGGGGGGACTCTCTTCTGGGTCATTAGTTGAGCTCCATATAAAGCAGATAATGTATTGTTAATACACTGACAATGAAGGAAAGAATTGCTGCATCTCTTATGTCAGGGAATCAGAGTCAGCATGATTTTATATTACACGGGAACGCTAAAGGTTTGGATACAGAGGGATGTCTGGGAATGTCCAGCTAATTCTCGTTATGACCTGTGCTTGGAAGTTCCCAGAATAAGTTATTACCCTTGAATTACCAGAGCACAAGACATATTAAATAGCATTCGGTTTCATATACTTACATTTCCACTAGCAGCATATCAGGAGGTGATGCATTCTTCAGTTCCCTTACAGTTGCTGGGTGATTTCCTCACAAGTTCATTACTGTATAGCTTAGTTTGTTGTTTGTAATTCTAATCCTTATTAATATGTAGGCTTTTCAGTGTTAGAAAAGGGTATTCTTATTATTATGTCAAAGTATAATGTTAACTGTACTTAATTTACATGGCTAAAAGCATAGTCTTGTATCCATTATATTGCTTTAAATAAATATATGTGCATTAATTAATTATATCTAGTTATAGAGTCCCTAGTTAAGCAGAAGCCTAAGCAGTGGCGTCTACAAAACACTCATTCAATTTGTAAATAAATCTTCATTGAATGCCTGCTGTCTCTTGAGAGACATAGGAGGGCTTATATGTCAGTCTTCACAGACGTTTCCTTTAAATTGTGACAAGAAAGGTGAAACTATCCAGACAGGTATCTGTAAGTGAGGAAGGACATGGAATTTGAGGGCAGAGGAGATGAGGATCATGTATGCGGGTATCTAAGAACCCGATTTGGAAAAAAACATCAAATTAAGAAATTTGGATATGATTCTAAGAACAGGAGAATAATTTTAGTGTTTGAGGCATAGGAAAGAAATTGTCAGATGTATGTTTGACAATAGAAAACTAATGGAATACTGAAATTTAGACAATCTGGGCAAAACCCAGATTTTAAGTGGTTTTTTAGATTCTTTTTAAAAATTTTTAATTTTTTTTATTATACTTTAAGTCCTGTGATACATGTGCAGAACATGCAGGTTTTTTACATAGGTATGCATGTGCCGTGGTGGTTTGCTGCACCTGTCAACCCTCCATTTAGGTTTTAAACCCTGACTGTATTAGGTATTTGTCCTAATGCTGTTCCACCCCTTGCCCCTCAACAGGCACATGTGTTCTCATTGTTCAGTTCCCACTTATGAGTGAGAATATGTGGTGTTTTGTTTTCTGTTCCTGTGTTAGTCTGCTGAGAATGATAGTTTCCAGCTTCATCCATGTCCCTGCAAAGGACATGAACTCACCCTTTTTTATGGCTGCTTAGTATTCCATTGTGTATATGTGCCACATTTTCTTTATCCAGTCTATCACTGATGGGCATTTCGGTTGATTGCAAGTCTTTGCTCTTGTAAATAGTACTGCAATAAACATTTGTGTGCATATGTCTTTATAGTAGAATGATTTCTAATCCTTAGGGCATATACCCAGTAATGGGATTGCTGGGTCAAATGATATTTCTAGTTCTAGATCCTTGAGGAATCACCACACTGTGTTCCACAATGGTTAACTAATTTACACTCCTACCAACAGTATAAAAGCATTCCTATTTCTCTGCATCCTCACCAGCATCTGTTGTTTCCTAACTTTTTAATTATCATCATTCTAACTAGTGTGAGATGGTGTCTCAATGTGGTTTTGATTTGCATTTCTCTAATGATCAGTGATTATGAGCTTTTTTTCATGTTTGTTGGCTATATAAATGTCTTCTTTTGAGAAGTGTCTATTCATATCCTTTGCCCACTTTTTGATGGGAATTTTTTTTCTTGTAAATTTAAGTTCACTCTGGTAACCTACCAAATGGGAGAAAATTTTTGCAATCTGTCCATCTGATGAAGGTCTAATATCTAGTTTCTTTTGCTGTGCAGAAGCTCTTTAGTTTCATGAGATTACATTTGTCAATTTTGGCTTTTGTTGCAATTACATTTGGTGTTTTAGTCATAAAGTCAATGCCCATGCCTATTTCTTGAATGGTATTGCCTAGATTTTCTTCTGGAGTTTTTATAGTTTTAAGTCTTAGATTTAAGTCTTTAATCCATCTTGAGTTGATTTTTGTATAAGGTATAAGGAAGGGGTCCAGATTCTGTGTTCTGCTTATGGCTAGCCAGTTTTCCCAACACCATTTGTTAAATAGGGA